GATGAAGATGAAGCCACTGCGAAAATGAACGTGCAAAATCATTATCTGTAGAGCAGCTACTATCCTGGCAAAAATTATCATGGACACCATGTGCGTCCAACAAAAATAGATCTATTTCTACAGAATTAATGCCCCAGAAAATGTCTCCCCCTCCTACCCCCAATTCAATGTTGGTAAATGAAACTTTTAAAATTTTAGTAGGAAACAACATTGAATAGGGAGCAGGGGACGAAAAATTTTATGAAAGAACATCTCAATGTTAATATTAGCATTAGAAAAGTTAGGTGTCCACATAATTTTTACCAGGATTGTCTGAAAATAACCTGAAAAAATATCGATAATTTTCACCCAAAGCAGGCCTTTTACTATAAATTTTTGATGTTGCTATTGCTTTAGGATAACAAGCAGATTGTTTAACCTGGTTTAATTGTTTTTTAAAGCATATTTATAGTTTTGTGAATGAGCAGCTTTGGCCATGATATATGCTTTGCTGAACTAATTATGCAAACACAGACACAGTCAGACAAGTTTTCAACAGAAATACTTTAAGTGCAGAACCAAAATCTCACTAAATATAACAGACTATAGAGTTATTTTAGTGTATACGCATCTGAAGTGCTCACTATTTTCAGATTTTTTATAATAAACACAGCCCAGCAGCAACTGTAGAGTGCCTTTAATCTAACAGTGACGTCACATGTTACACAATTATGCACTGCATAGTTAAAGAATACACAGCTTAAATATTTTTATCACTATGCTACACAGCTGTGTACCGTATCAGTTTACTAAACTTTCACAATAACGTCACTTACACATTTATACAGTTTTATACAGTTATATTGTATGAAAAGATGGGAGTATGATTTTCCATGCGGCAAACCCATTGCAAAATGTTGCAGGCTAACAAAGGATCTGCATATTGAAATGCATGTATTACCAATAATGCAAATAATTCACGCTCAAGAACTAAAGATAGATCTGCTTGGCTGTAAGTTATGAAACAAACCTCCCATTTTTTGGCTGAACATTTTGTATTGTTTGACTAAGTACTAAGATATCGTTGTTCTCCACAATGTTCAATAATTTGTTATACGAAAACAGGGGCGGATCCAGACCGATGCCAACGATGCGAATGCATCGGTCAAAATTGAGAAATCATGTTGCTTGAAGTAATATATAGACATTATGCTGTCATCAATACTTAGTCAAGCACTCAGTATTAAATAGAATATCTTTGAATCTCTCCAGCTATCAAACCGCAAATATTTGCTTAAACTTGACTCCATGTCAGGAATACACTATTTAGGATGAAATCCAATTTAAATAGTCTCAATAACAGTCGAAATTGTCCAAATAAGTCCAATATGCGACGTGCGATCGCAAATGTGTACTTTTTGTTATTTACATTTTATTTTGCGACACTTAAGCGTCAATAATTTCGCGACAAAATATGTTATTTTTACCGCATCCTTTGACGTCACAGTAGAAAGCTGATGCATCACCTACATCACGGTAGATTTGGTTTGCATCGATTTTCAGCCATTTTGCATCAGTGAATGCATCTGTCCCGAGTCCTTTTCCGCGTGAAATCTACTGTGACATCATCAAATCTATTGTTTTAGAGCCCTACGTCACGGTAGATTTGTCCGCCGAGCGATGCATCACATGCAGATTGCGGGCGCTCACATCGGTTCACTGATGCCAATTCCAAAATCAAAATCTACTGTGACGTAACGAGGCATTCGATTCAAGTCATGGCGGCAAGGATATGCAAACACTATATGCAAATGAGACAAATAATGGGAAGAAATATCTCTCAAAATTGACGGAGAAAACGGAGAACAAATTACCGAATTAATTACCAAGGCTTGGAATGAATCTAATCTTTCATCTGAGTAAAATAATTGAAGTATATTTATACTGTGAGATGCCCACTATGTGAGACTCGAACTGAGGGCTCTAAAGTAAGTGAAATTTATCTATATTTTACATTGTAGTTCATTGGTCAGTTCAAGAAGTGTATAAAGTGGAAAATGGGCTCCACAGTTAATGCAGATTTGTTTGTATTAACATAATGATTAAAGTTTGGGTCTATTTAATACTGTTGCTTTTATTCCAGCAGGGAGGGGGGGGGGTGGGATGAGGTAATTTGACATTTTACAGTCTTTACCGAGTAACAGAGGTTTGCTTGTCTGGAGGCAAACCAGCCCCAATACCAAACTTGACAGCTTGCTTTACTGAGGCAAATTTCATCTCTGTTTACATGGGATTATAACCTGTGCCCAGACCTTCATTTTTCTCACAGCTGGCGGGCAAAGAAAAATGAAGACCTGATACACTTGTTATTAAACGTTTGTGAACTACAACTGCCTTTATGGTTGTAACTCTGATTGGCTATTTCTAGCATGAGTATTCATGCCATATTTAATGTATTTTTTTATGTTTTGGTTAATTAATGCTATATATAATTAAATAATTATAGATTTAGTGATTGTAACTATATTTAGCTTGTTGTTAAATTATGTGAAATTGACATTAATTCCTCCTGGCACATTTTGATTGGATACTGGTACTAAAAATAAAACTATGGTGTGGGTCAAGACTTGCATCAGGCTCTGTATGTAATTATAGTGCATAATAATATTGCAGGTTAATATTAATGAGATTTCTAATAGTGATGCAATATTGGTTAGAAGACGGTATCTCCTATTACATTCCATTTTTATTTTATATGGAAATGAGCTGCCATGCCTCATGACAAGAGTCTAATTGCTTTGCATTGCCTGAGTTATTGGGCAATTACTGTACACTGTATATTTTGCAAACAAAGATGATTACCTGGACTTGCTCGCCTACCATAGTTGAGTATATATATATATATATGCTTTGTCTGTGCAAATATAATTTGATATAAGCTGTATATGTCATTCTCCTGACAGATTTTAATCTTAGAATGATAAAATGATGGACGCTATAAATACTGTATGTAACTGTAACTGGTGTATATAGGATATAATTATGAAATTTGCTCACAAAAGTGGGATAGTTTGGAAAATATATTTAATTAAATTATATATTTGTAGTGCTAATCGTCCAAATACTATATACCCTGAAGATTACCATTGATAAGTGTATGGATATATTTGATCGACAAAGATGTGCATTTATATAATAACACAGGGAAAATATTCATCAATACTACTGTGCAGCCTTTCTACATTGACAACATCTTAACAGAATACTATATTAATATTAGTTGAAAGGCAGGCAAAAGGGGACAGCTAGATAGAAGACATGATTCAATTATGTCATGGTATATTGTTTATCATAATGATTGTATAGTTTGGTAGGTTCATTTGACAAACAATTTCCAACTAAGATAGTTCATTAAATCAATTTACACACAGTCTCTATTGATTTAAAGTTATACTAATAGAATTTTAAACCCAGTACTTGTTGTGTGTTAGTTTACTGGTTTCCTGGTCACAGGGCAATATTCTCAGTATTCAGAGTGTGGGCTATTCACCATGCAGTTCATGTCAAAGGCAGCTAGGGGTGAATGAATTTAATGAAATTGACCAACTGATGTCAACCACACTGTCCATACAGAGTAAGATTAGCAGCATAAGACAGAATTGTATATAAATAAGTTTACCCACTAGAGCACAAAATAATTTTATGCACCATTCTAATGCTAGAAGATTTCACTCATGGAACGTTGGAAATTAATGGAAACTAATAAGGGAAGGTGGTTAAAAAACAACACAATAACACTGCCTTCTGAGTCCAGCAATGCAACTAGTGGATCACACTGTATACACCTCCCTTACGAAAATATTCTATAGAATCCTATAAAATATGCTATAGAATATTCCAAGTCCTATAGAATATTCTATAGGATTTCAAAATCCTATAGAATATTCTATAGGATTTTCAAATCCTATAGAACATTTTATTCTAGAATGCATATCCTATAGAATATCCTATAGAATCTTCTATATTATTTTCAAATCCTATAGAATATTTTATTCTACATTCATATCCTATAAAATATCCTATAGAATCTTCTATAGCATTTTCATGTTTTAATAAGATTCGGCAACTACCTAAAAATACAACAATGTAGTGCAAGGGAGTTCGCCACAGTTCCCCCAATTACGACGATCCCTCATTTTCAAATTCTATAGAACATTTTATTCTACACTGCATGTCCTATAGCATAATCTATAGTATTTTCACCTACACAATATTTTGGAATATATCCTGCTGGCTCATGTTGAAATCACTTTGAACATTCCTCAACTATTCTATAGGATATTCCATAGAAAATTAACTCAAATGTGAAAAATATTGTGACATTAAAATTAAACAACAAGAAGATTGGGAGTTATATTAATTTAATATTAGCAATAACCATTTTTTGAGTACAGGTAATTCACATCAATTATATGACAAATTAAACAACAGTAATATTATGAGAAGATAGTATTCATTATTAAGTTTACAAGTGATTCTGATATATATACAAGTATCATGTTATATTTACAGTATAAGTATGAAATGTTTTACAATTTGCAGTATATGACATGATTACATGAGACATTGCTCTATATATAGCAAAATTCAGCACGATAACAGGTTGTGCTATGCAAACTAAGGAAATAAATCTGCCTTTAAAGATAGGGTGAAGTCCATTTTCTGATGGAAATGAGCTTTAATAATTATATATGTGAAATTTTTTAAAATTTACATAGCACAAAAACTGTTTCTGAGCTTACATTTGCTAAATATGTACTGCTAGTATATGCATTAAAAATATACAAAGTGGTCTACGTCTATATATTGCTTATATTTTATTTATATAAGCTAGTATATAAGCTATATAAGCTATATAAGCTAGTATATACAAGATTTAAGGCGCCAACATGGCTGCCAGGTTTTCGCTCCTCCTGTTTATTCTGTTTATATCTCTACATTATTTGGTTTCTTTGTCATCAATGTCTGGCTGTTCGCTGTACAGTTATCCTGGAAAGCAATGTTATCAATTACAGTGTCTACATGGAATTGTTTTAATACGCAATGTGGCCTCGACCGTGAAATCGAACTTGACTTATGGTTCTTGTCGCCAAACAAGGGCTCTAATGAAATGGACTAAGCATGGCTGCACTTGCTTGCTGATTCCCGGACTTGACCCTCCTCTCGATATAACAATATTTGTGGATATATCTGTTAATCCTGGCCCTCAATCTGTGAAACGAAACCTTGAGGAGAACTGTAGTATGTGTAAAGAACCTAGTTTGCATATTGCTTCTCGTATAGCGACAACAACATATTCTCGGGCTGATCTTATGTCGATTCGCGTTGGCACTCGCTGTTTAGTTTCTTCGTTCGTTTGCTATCAGCTGAAATCTAACGGTCTCCTAAGATTTAGAGGGAAAAGAGCGGGCAAACGTAAGATTACAACAAGAATAACTTTGAGAAATCAAACCCGTTTTAAAAACAACACGTTTTTGGACGGTAATTATGAATATTTTAGTCATGCAGACGTGACCCGCAACAAAAGTATCGGTGGTTTGGTAAGAAATTACAACAATTTAATCATAGTTAAAACATCTGATCTCCCTGATAAAAATTGCATTTCTGACTCGTTCTACTCAAAGTTTGCACTCTGGAATGCCCGGTCACTAACACGGAAAACAGCGCTCGTGTGCGATTATATTCTTTCAGAAAAGATTGACGTATTTGTCGTGACAGAAACTTGGCTTAAAGAGTCGACCAGGGCTGTGGCTGATATAACGAATACGCTGCCAGACCATCAACTATTCAACAAACCTAGAATTGGGCGTGGTGGGGGTGTTTGTGTCATACTGAAGAAAGGCTATAGTGTGAGACAATTGACCCTTCCCTCATTTAGATCGTTTGAGTATATTGCTTTATCTGTCAGCTGTGGGTCCACTTGTTTGTGTATCGTTGCGGTGTATCGACCACCTCCATCAAAGAAAAATGGCTTGTCTGCAGACATTTTCTTCAATGAGTTCCCAATTCTCATTGAGAATCTGGCCGCCCTGCCTGGTCGATTGCTAGTGGTTGGTGATTTCAATTTTCATCTCGATAATGTTTCAACAAACCGTGATGCCATCCTGTTTCTTGATCTTTTGGATTCTAATAACTTGATACAGCATGTCGAAACCCCAACTCACAACCGTGGTCACCTTCTTGATCTCGTGATTACTCGCAACTCAGATACTGTTATATCCGATATAAGCTCATCATTGCAGCTTCCCTCAGATCATGCTGTAATTACTGGTCGAATCTCTGTTCCCCGCCCTAAATCCACAAGAATGTTTGTGAACCACCGAAAACTTCGGAATATTGACTTGTGTGCTTTTGCCCAATCTATTTGCGCATCGTCTATCATCACTGAACCTTGCTCTGACCTGGACTCGTTAGTCCATCAATACAATACTGACCTAACGAATGTTCTGGATATGCATGCTCCTGCACGCCCAAGATTCGTCACCCTCCGACCGCATGCTCCATGGTTTGATGATTCTCTTCGAGAGGCTAAGGCAAAGAAAAGGAGTTATGAAAGGAAATATAGATCTTCTGGTCTTGAAATTGATAAACAGATTTTTAAAGACTATTGTAACGGCTATTATCGTCGTCTGAACGATGCAAAAACATCATACCATCGAAATCGTTTTAGTAATGTTGACCAGCGGTCTCTTTTTCGTGAAGTAGAAAAGATGACCAGTGGAAAAAGGACAAACATTTTCCCCTCTTCTCTGGTTGACCCAGCCGATCAATTCTTAACTTACTTTAATGATAAGATTCGCAATCTTCACAGTAAATTATGCGAACTTCCTGTCTTAGAACCAAATATTCATCTCCCTCCATGCACATGCAGCTCAAGTTTTTCATCTTTCTTGCCTGTAACAGAGACCTACATTAAGCAGATTGTTTTGAAATCTCCTACAAAGTTTTGTGAATTAGATCCAATCCAAACTGTGGTTCTGAAACAATGTCTTCATGTGGTCTTAACACCTATTACGAATATTGTTAATTTATCTTTGGGCGGTGGTTCCATGCCAGATGCTTTGAAAGTTTCCCAACTTGCACCTGTCCTAAAGAAAATATCGATGGATCCTGAAGATATGAGTAGTTTTCGTCCAATCTCAAATTTACAGTTTATCTCGAAGACGATCGAACGAGTCGCATCTCCCCAACTTATCGATTATCTAATGGAAAATAAAATATATCCAAATCTCCAATCTGCGTTCAGAAAGGGATATAGCACTGAAACAGCTCTTTTACGTGTTCAAAACGATCTCTTAGAGGCACTTGATTCTGGCCATCAAGCTCTTCTAGTAATGCTCGATTTTTCTGCAGCTTTCGATACAATTGACCATCAAATTCTACTTGGCCGTCTGAAATCTCGCTTTGGAATTTGTGGTACAGCTCTATCCTGGTTTTGGTCATATCTCACATCTCGAACTCAGTATGTAAAAGTAAACGGTAAAACTTCGGCAACAACTCCGCTATTACAAGGTGTGCCTCAGGGATCGGTTCTCGGACCATTGCTTTTTTCTCTTTACGTTTCTCCACTAGACGATATTTTTACTGCCCATGA